CTGAAATGACTGAGGAACCAAAGAGCCTCCTTCCCACGGAACCCAAGGACAGGAACTTGAAAGTCAGACTCTCATCAAAAGCAAGGCATCCCGCTTTCAGGAAGACCTGCTGTTAAAATTCCTTCCCTACCCCCTCAAAAATGCTTAGGACCCTATCATAAAAGTTTAGAACCTCATCACAAATGTTTAGAACCCTGTCGTAAATGTCTAAAACCTTACCATAAATGCTAGAAGCCCACCAATCACAACCTGTATCCCACCAGCATTTCTACTTGTCAGCCTGTTCTCCCTAACCTTTTAAACTTCACCCCAAATCCTGAATCCGGGCAACACATCTCAGGGCACACGCCCTGTCTCCCTGCAGATTGATCTCGCTGAATAAAGCCGATTTCTCTCTCAAAAGCTGCTGCTGTAATTAATTCGTTTCTTATTGATGTGCATCAGGCAAGAGAACCCCAATTTTGTGCAGTAACACTTTTGGTGTCAATATAGGACTTTCTGAATGAGTGACTTTGGCACAATAGCAAGAAGAAAATAAAAAAAGTCTTTTTCATGGGTTTTGTCACTTGGCGAGGAGAGAGAGGCAGTATGTTTGTGGGGAGTCAGGTGTTCTTTGACTGACTCTTTCAAAGGTAAGCAAATGACCTTTGCAAGGCACTATCCAAGGGCTGAGAATGAACTTTTTTCCTATATGCCTCCTCCAGAAAGCTGGAATGTGTCGAAACAAAACAAAACCAACCTTCTGAGTTTCACATTAACATCATACTCAAATGCCAGCTTTGCAGGTGGTTTAAAAAGAGGTACTTCTGAGGTGGCCGCCCCCGTGGCCGAGCGGTTAAGTTCACGCACTCTGCTTCTGCGGCCCAGGGTTTCGCTGGTTCAGATCCTGGGTGCTAACATGGCACCGCTCATCAGGCCATGCTGAGGTGGTGTCCTACATGACACAACTAGAAGGACTCACAACTGAAAAATATGTAACTGTGTACTGGGGGGATTTGGAGAGAAAAAACAGAAAAAAAAAAAAAGAAGATTGGCAACAGTGGTTATCTCAGGTGCCAATCTTTTTTTTTCTTAAAAAAAAGATTTTATTTTTCCTCTTTCTCCCAAAGCCCCCTGGTACATAGTTGTATATTTTTAGTTGTGGGTCCTTCCAGTTGTGGCATGTGGGATGCTGACTCAGCATAACTTGATGAGTGGTGCCATGTCCACACCCAGGATTTGAACGGTGAAACCCTGGGCCTCCGAAGCAGGGCGTGTGAACTTAACCACTTGGCCACCAGGCCAGCCCCATCAGGTGCCAATCTTTAAAAAAAAAAAAAAAAAGAAAGGAGGTACTTGTGAAACTAAACTCCATTCAAGGATGCTTAGAGCACAAGTATCCTGGCAAAATTCAAATATATTTGCAAATCATTTGCAAGTAATCTGCATAATTTGAGAGAAAAGAGGTTGATTCTACCTATAGGATCTTCATTTCTACTTTTTAAATTCTTTTTCCCCACTTTCTCTTTTCAGTGATACAGGTCCTACTATTCCAGATAGATATAAGCCAGAGGCAAGTAAGAAGTTCTGAATTAGAGTAGATGGCCTAGGAGAATTTTTCAAAATTAATCCCATGGGTTGTTAATAAGTGGAAAGAGGAAAAAAACTAAGCACTCGGAAAACATTGGATTAGTTACATTTAAACAGGATTCTTCACTAAAATACTTGTCAGTGCCTTTTATATGCTAATATGCATTGTGAATCTTTTGAGAGGTGGTATTGAATTGTATGGATATACAATTCTCAGCATTTCTCTAACTTGTTTGATCTTCCATCCACAAATCTGACTTTAGTAACACTGTACTAGAACATAAGTAACCAAGAAGCAGTTCAACTTATAACTTCCAAACTGCGTGAAATTCCACGTGAGAGAAAAATGAAAGTCATTTATGCCTTGAGTAGAGTTTCTTCTTGACTTCCCAAAGGCTATTCCCTACATGGGTAAAATCATGGTATGGTTCTTGGCCAAATGCAAAGCAGGCCTGTTATATGGAAATGCAGAGTCTTCCTAAGCACAGAACTACACAGCAAAAGCTAAAGCTGGAGGGGAAGACTCCTTTTGTGCCTAATATATAAATGTTAGAAATAAGGCTTCCTTCATTAAAGGTGTAGCAAGAATGAAGAGAATTGGAATTGGCTGGTTCCAGGGCCCCCCTTGCCCCTTCCTCACCTCTAGTGGGCCCTCAGGGATTCCTCAAAATCTGGGTGCTCTCTGGGGTAAATGTGAAAACAACACATCCTTATGTGTATATAACTCCCTCATTTTCACATATGTGAGAGGGGTGGTAAATTGTTATTTACTGGAACAATTAAATTTCATTAAATAAAGAGTCTTCTTGTTCTGACGAATACTTTGATGGGACTAGCCTAATGTAGGTTGGGGCCGGGAGAGAGATGAATAGTTTGGCATAATAATCTAGAGGAGAGTGTAGAGTCTCCAAGGCAATATGGGGCCAGGGAAGACAAGAGATGAGAAAAGGACAAGGAGAAGGAGGTGGAGAGGATTCTCTCTGAGCATCTATGGCTGGAGTGAAAACTGGTATAGATGTCATCAGGGAAAGATGTCCCAAGCTAGAAGATTTATAATTACAGACAAGTCGAAAATTCCATTTTAAATTATCTGCATTATTATCATCATAAAACCTCCCCTGTCTCCTCAGATCTTCAGTAAAGTCTAAAAACCATTGTGGAAATTGAATATGAAGTAGGTTTCATGTCTCAGGTTATAAAGACTGGGAATATGGACAGGCCACATGGGACAATCAAATCATAAAATGATGCAATCTAGAAGCAGCAAGGGCTCATACCATAAGAACGTAAGAAATCTAGACATTAGCAGAAATCTTAGGGAAGTCCTTGTACTTAGGGTGTAAAATGAAGGGTTTGGTATGCTATTTTAATCTTAAAGAAAAGGGAAATCCCAGTTAATATCTGAATAACAGAAGGAAGTAATGATTTTGCATGGAGGAGCCAATGGCTTGTGGCTTCCATTGCCAAAAAATGCCAATAATCCCCAAATGAGTTGGCCTATATTCCGAATGATCAATTGGCCATATCTACTTAGATGCCTTACTAAGACTTTAAATTTAATATGGCCCGGATTGTATTTTCCCCACTTCTTCCCCAAGTCCCTGTGTCTTTGTTTCCTGCCTCTATAAATGCCTCCATCACTCATTCTACTTCTCAAGAAGAATCTTTTTCTTCAACTCTTTTTTCTATTCCCATCACGTAACTAAATAGTCACCGGATCATCCTAATTTTCGCTGTGGCATATGTCCCCTTCTAGGTTTTCTCACTTCCTCAGTTTAGCTGCATTACTTTGCCAAAACAGTTCTAAGCACCTCTTAACTGCTCACTCTCTCTGTTCCATCTATCCTCCGTGCAGTGCCAATTATCTGTCTAAAATGAGCATCTAGTCAAGTCATTCTACTGCAAAGATCATTTCCTGCCTCGCCATTGCTCACAGGACGAAGTTCCCTGTAGCCTGCCTAAAAGCCTTCCTGCAAGTGTGTTCCTGCCCTACCACAAGCCTCACCCCCAGCCAATCCCCACTCTATATGCTATGCTATAAGGACACCCATACTATTTTCACCTCCATATCTTTCTTCTTCATTCTCTTGTCTTTCCCTACAAAAACCTTGAATCCAAGCAAATCATTCATGCTGTCTCCTTACTGTAATTCAAAATATCAATTAAGGGTAAAGGTAAAAGGGGGGCAGTCCAGTGGCATAGTGGTTAAGTTTGCATGCTCTGCTTCGACGGCCCAGGGTTTGCGGGTTCAGATCCCGGGTACAGACTGACACACTGCTTATCAAGCCATGCTGTGGCAGCATCCCACATACAAAATGGAGGAAGATTGGCACAGATGTTAGCTCAGGGCCAATCTTCCTCACCAAAAAAAAAAAAAGTTAAAGGTAAAAGGTCTGACAGGAATCGTGTTTTTTTCTTCAATGTTTGCATTATTTAATACTTTAACTCAAAAGAACAAATAATATGTACAATTCTACCCATTGTATCACACTCGTGGGAAAGAGCTACAGAGACCCTTGGTGATTGCCCAAACTACACCTCACAAGGTAAGTACCACTCTACATATATGACTGGGCTTCACCAATGGACTGCTCACTCTCTGGAGGGTGATCTTTGCTTATGGTATAGTGTAAAGACATAGAATATGGCTTGAAAAGAACAGGGTTTGAGTCTTTGTTTCATCATTCATTATTCAAGTGCCCTTAAGCAAAACATTTCACTTCTCTCAACCGCAATTTTTATCTGTAAGACAATATCTACTTCCCTGGGTTGTCATGCAGATCAAATGGAATTGGGTATTTAAAAGACTCCACAGACAGTAGGGAATGTGCTACGCAAATGTGAAAAGCAGTGCTAAGAAAACATAACTGGACACGGAGTCAAAATACACGGTACCACGGGTTGATCTGTGTCCTACAAAAGCTATGTTGAAGTCCTAATCCCCTGTACGTATAAGTGTGACCTTATTTGGAAATAGGGTGCTTACAGACATAATTAAGTTAAGATAATATCTTTAGAGTGGTCCCTAATCCAGTATGGCTGGATTCTCTAAGAAGAGAAGACAGAGACGCATGGGGAGAAGGTCATGTGAAGATAGAGGCAGAGATTGGAGTGACACTTCTACAAGCCAAGGAACATCAAGGATTGCCAACCATCACCAGAAGCTAGGGATTCTAGAACCTGAAAGATTCTCCCTCAAAGCCCTCAGAAGGAATCAACCTTGCTAACAGTTTGATTTTAGACTTCTAGCCTCTGGAACCAATAGACAATAAATTTCTTTGATTTTAGGCTACCCAGATTGTGGCATTTTGTTATGGCAGCCTTGGGAAACTAATGCACGTGGGTACGAATTTTAGTTCCATCACTTACTAGCTCCATGAATTTGGGATACGTTACTTAAACTTTTCCCCTGATACCTTAAGGCCACTTACCTTTCTGTGATGGTTTCTCTGAGGCCACTGGCCACCCCTTTGACCACAGTGCTAGCTTTGGGGGTCAGCACCACCTGAGATATAAAAAACGAGCCCTTCTTTCTTCTCTCAATGATAGACGCCTGAAGAAACTGGATCAGTTTTTCCGGGTCTGTGGTGTTGGCCCAGGGTGCTGGCATCATCTGCCCAGGCCAGAGAAAGGGCACTTCCAGAGCCACTGGACTGTGGTAGAAAACCAGCACTTGATAGTCCTTTTCCCACAGGTACTTTAGACTAACTTCCTGGGCAAAAATCGCTGGGCACATTTTATTTCCATAGATGTCTTTCAGCATTTGGACGAGTTTTTCATGGTGATATTTCTGCATCCCATAAAAATGGTTGAAGTCCAAGAACACTACCTCCTTATGGTGATCTGTGAGGAAAGCATTGATCTCCTCAAGGCCTTCATTCACTTTGGCACTGAACAAACCATGAGCAAAGTAGAGTTCATTGTCGGGGTCTCTGGGCTTGGTGGAAATTCGAAGATCAAAATAACGGATCCCAGCTCCTAGCTGACCAGTAAAGTTCATTGTTTGAGTGGCTAGCCATTTCCGCATCAGCTTTTTGGCCACAGTTCCAAACACAGAGACAAAATTCTGGACTGTCTCTGGCTGCTCAGGCCCTACTGGCGAGGCTTCGTCAATGTAGAAGCTGAAGGAATCGTGAGATCCTAGAAGAATAACAAGGCATAATGTGGTTATATTTCAGTCCTTTGTCCTTCCCAACTTCTTTCCCTCTTGCAACATTCATATCTCTCCCTCAACCAAACCAAAGGAAATACTAAGCAATATTTACCTAGTTCATTCTCATGTCTAAGGAGAGTCCCTTTTTTTTTTTTTTGAGGAAGATTAGCCCTGAGTTAACTACTGCCAGACCTCCTCCTTTTTTGCTGAGGAAGCCTGGCCCTGAGCTAACATCCGTGCCCATCTTCCTCTACTTTATACGTGGGGCGCCTACCACAGCATGGTGTGCCAAGCAGTGCCATGTCTGCACCCGAGATCCGAACTGGAGAACCCTGGGCCGCCGAGAAGTAGCACATGCACACTTAACTACTCCGCCACTGGGCTGGCCTCAGGAGAGTCCTTTTTAAAACCCAGTACAGTACACAAAGCACTTAAACAGCTCAAATTGATTGTAAAATGATAAGAAAAATCCCTTCTGATGAATATTCTAAAATTCAAATGATCATCTACTTCTACAAACTAAGAATTTAATGCATTTATTAGGATTGGCTTTTGATGCCAGTGTCATAAGTGTTCATTCACTAAGTAGGATTTATGGGGACTCAGCAGTTCCCAAATACTTTGTCTACAATCTTGCCCTTTCCCTTTATTTTGGGTTGATTTTAAGCCTGAAGGCTTGTTTCATTGACTAAAGAAACCCTTTTCACAGGCAGATGATCAGTGAGTTGTTACCTCATACACTTGGGAAAGCGCAAGAGGTTACAAGAATAGAGAAAGGGAGAAATAAGGCAAGAGGCCAGGACAATGCTGATATAGTTAACACCCTTCCTGACCCTGCATTTGGGCAACTGTCAGCTTAGATGAGGCCAAGCACTTTTTACCTATTGAATAAAGAATTATTTGTTTTCTTGCAAGTTAACACAACTAACGGCATTTCAAAATTAACTCATAGACTATTTTCTTCACAGATGTTTCCTCTCAGCACTGAAAGCTCTCTTTGGAGTTGCCTTCCAAATTTAGAAGAATTTCTTCCTAGGAACAACAAGGACCACCTGTTTATTTGTTTATTTTTTGCAGTTACAAATATCAAAACTCCAGAAATAGAGTGATGAACTTGTGTATGATTTGCCTGTAAGTATGGAGTGCCATTTAAAATATTATCAGACCCAATAAAAAAATTAATTCAACTTTTAATTCCTTTTTTGAAGTCTCCTTTAATTCTTGAGCACGACCTACCGAATAGGTAAAATTAGATAACGTATCATGGATTTTTCACCCATTAGAAAGGGCAGATGTCATCATTCCCCATCTGTTACTCAGGCTTCCTCTTTAGCCCCACTCCTGATTGGGTCCCTTGAGGCACATGTTTTTCTGGTTCTTTCACTCGACCAACCCAAAACACACATACATACACATACTCCCTCTCTAAGTTTCTCACCCATCACCTCAGGGCTATATTTTAATTTATAAAAAGAAATATATATTTGGTCTTTGTCCCCATTTCTGGCACAGAGCTCCTAAAACCCTTGGAATTTCCTAGGTGATGAGAGTGAAAAAGGTGTCTTTTGTGCTGTTAATGAAGTGACTTTTGGACCCCACCTAAAAATGGGGGCTGTTGCCAGCGGAGCTAATCATGTCACTAGAAGGTTGGGACTTTCAGTCCCATCCCCCTGACTCTGGGGAGGGGACAGGAGCTGGCGATTGAGTTCCACCACCAATGGCCAATGATTTAATCAGTCATGACTACGTAATGAAGCCTCTATAAAACCCAAAAGGACTTCAGAACTTCCAGGTTGGTGAACACATGGAGATTTGGGGAAGAGTGGTGCATTCAGAGAGCATGGAAGCTCCGGCCCTTTCCCCATTCCTTGCCCTGGGCATCTCCTCCATCTGGCTGTTCCTGAGTTACATCCTTTTATAATAAACCAGTAACCTAGTAACTGAAATGTTTCTCTGAGTTCTGTGAGCCTCTCTAGCAAATTAATTGAACCTCAAGAAGGGGTCGTGGGAACCTCTGATTTATAGCTGATTGGTCAGAAGCACACATGATGACCTGGACTTGAGATTCGCATCTGAAGTGGTGGGGGAGGCGTTAGTCTTTAAGACTGAACCCTTAACCTGTGGGATCTGACGTTATCTCCAGGGAGATAGTGTCAGAATTGAGTTAAATTGTAGGACACACAGCTGGTCCAGAGACTTGTTTGGCTGTGTGGGGACATAGCCACCTCCTATACACACAGACATCGGAATTGTAACCAGACCCATAGAGAAGCTATTTGAAGCAATTTTTTTTCAGTGATGCAATATTTATCTTCGTCTATATTCCATATCTATGTCATAGATAATGTATGTACCTATTTCTACATCTATTTATCTATGACTAGCATTAAACAGGCCATAGGAATCACAGGGTATGGATTTCAGACACCATAATAGGCTGTTGAGAGAAAATATTTTGAAAACACTTTGATATCTTGCAAATCATAATCTTTAAGATTTGGAAGAGATAACTCCTCATAATTATTAGATTTTTTAAAACCGTGAAAGGTAACCCCAAAATACAGGAATGCCATGTTTAATTTAATCTGGAACTATCTGATCTATTTCTCTTTGGTAGATGGTATGGGAAGAAAATGTCAGCATTTTCCGAAGAAGCAAAACTGGCAGTTTGCATTTGGCATTGGCAAATGGTAATAGGGACTTAATTTGCTTAATATTGATTTATTAGTTGCTGTTCAGGTGACTGCTATATAAATGAAAAACCTAAACCAACTGTGCCGTGGCTCAAAATACAAGAGTGTTTTTAAAGAAAGAAACAAAAAGATGAGTTTAAGAAGAGTTATAATTGAATGATCTAGGATTAAGATAGGTAAAAATAAATGAATAAACCCTCAAAATAAGAGTCAACAAATTAATTTCCAGGCATGTGAAAGAAAGCCAGATGAAAGTAATTGGTTATTTCTGTAATCCAGTGGAAGATATGATTGGAAGCAAGCAGAGAGGGAATTCGATGTGACTAGATTTCTATTTCCAGAAATGAGTGGTTCTTCATTTTCAACTTAATTTTAGTTTCATCATCCTATCAGGTGGTTATGTGGAAAATTTTACAAAAAGCCTAGGAAATTCATCACTTTTGAAAATTCTGTAAAAGGACATTGTAATTTCTGGATAAATTACTTGTTGACATTTAAGGAAAATCTAATATTAAGGTCAAAATAAGGTAAAGTTAAAAATAAAAACAAAAAACAGCTAACAGAAGGAGAAACCCTTAGTGTCCCCACCGATATTCGTTCTAAGCTGTATGACTCTGAGGTGCACGTGTAGCACTTGGTGCAGAATGCTGCCCTGTGGGTGCTTCATACTGTAAATATTATTTAGAGAGGAGAATTATGCCATCACGTGACGCAAAACACTATCCATGCATTTTAAGAGAAAATATACAATCTAACGTTGGCCAAAAAAGGAATATTTCCATGACGTTTAATTTCATTTGGAATACTAGTTCCTCCCCAATTTCAACATATTCACTAATCCATTGTTTTCCATTTTTTTAACTTAAGAGAAAAATACAGTAGTATTTTAGACCTTTCAATAATTGAGAGGAAAAGTCTGTTCCAGCCCAGTATCTTTGAAATCAGGGAGCCCAGCCCACAAGCAAGATAGTGCTAAGCATTATCTTGCTCTTGGCTACATCCAAACCTTTCTGCCAAATCTGGTCTGATATTTTGTGTCTACATTGACTCAGTATTTCTGGGCTCCTGACCTTGTATCCTTCCCTTGTCTACAGCCCCAAACTCATACGTTGGACCTGATACTTAATGTTGCTCCTCAGATTCTGAAATTAACTTCTCAAGTTTGGGTTTCATTTGTCCTCTCAACTCAGACAAGAGCTGGTCACCCCCATTATGAACCTAGCCCAATCAAGCTCCTTTGCTCCGGCTCTGAGTAAGTGAGTGGAAGAGGCTAGTTTCTCTCATTTCTTGGAAACAGTCGCTTTTATTAGTTTCTCTTCAGTCTGTTAAATCATTCGCTCATTGAGGCAGTAGGCCTACTTCTAAGATGGCCCCTAACAATCCCTGCCCTCTTGGCATTCACACTCCTCCCCTGAGTGAGGGCTCAATCTAGTGACTTGCTTCTATTGAATTAAATAACACAAACATGATGGGATGCCACTTCTGAGGTTAGATTAAAAAAGATTGTGACTTCCATCTTGCTACTCCTCCCCTTGCTGGGTTTGATGAAGAGAACCACCATGTTGGAGAGGCCCATGTGGCAAAGAGTAGGGAGTGACCGTCAGCCAACAGCCAGCTAGAAACTGAGGCTTTCAGTCCAGTAGCCTTCAAGGAAGTGAATCTTGTCAACAACCCTGAGTAAGCTTGGAAGCAGTCCTGCCCCCATGGGATCTTTATTCCAGCCTTGTGAGAAACCCTGAAGCAGAGGACCTGGGTAAGCCTTGCCTAGATTCCTGACCCATAGAAACGGTGTGTTGTTTTAAGTGACTAAGTTTGGGGTAATTTACTACACAGCAATATTTAACTAATACAGACTATCAACTCTTTGAGGTTAATGAGGGGATTTGTTGTCTACATATTAGGTCCAACTGCCTAATACGAGAACTTGGAGTTTTAATGAAGAGAAATTAATTTAATTCAAAATTTTCATATGCATCTTTCTAGTCTTGAAAACTATGTATTAGGTAAGAGAAAAAAATAAAAGAAGAAGAGTTGTTTAAAAAATCTTCTTGAATACACAAATGGAGTTACTCCATTCTGCCTACTGTTATGAATCATCTTAGATGTCATCTAATCAACTAGCATGAAACATCCATTTTATTAACTCAATAGTGTTACATGTGTGATCATCTTTTTTATGGTCTCTGGTAGTAGTGGACTTAGCTTCTCATCCTAGTACTTGGTGTGATAGGAAGAATTCTAGGATGGCCCTCCAACTTTCACCCCCTGGTATAGATGCCCTGTATAATCCCCTC